ATAACCCCAATAGTCCATTCCCCGATAGGCCTCCTAATAGATTGTGGCAGAAAGAGATGGATGATCTCCGAGATCATCGCATGAACGGTCATGCCACATATCATCCCGCCTGTCCACAGTGCATTGCTTGTAGAGGTGTCCAGCGTCATGCCCGCAGACAGGGAACTAAGGGGATTGAGATCCAAGCTGATTTTGCAGTTTTAGGTAGACATAAGGTTCTAGCGTTGGTTGAAGTGAGTTCTAATTCCATGGGCTTCGTATATATGAGGGCTAGCCATGAGGTCACAGCCAATGAAGTGTTAGCCTGGGCAAGGTCTATTGGTGTCACAGGACCCTCAACTTGCGTTGTTTATGTCAAATTGGATGCAGAACCTAGCCTAGTATCTTTCCTCGAAAGGTCCTTACCTGCCAGATTTGAACGCGCTGCTCCCCAGTCCCCTGAGACAGTTGGTTCAGCTGAACGCACTGTACGATACTTTAAAGAAACGTTGGCAATCTTAAGACAAGACTACTTGGACATGGGTTTCCAGTTAGCAATATATGCAGAAAGCTTGCCATTCATTTGCCGGTACATTGCAAGTTGCCACAATTTTCATCATAAAGTGTTTGGGGGAAGCCGCACGCCGCATCAACATGTCATTGGGCAAGACCGTCCATCGCCTGTTACAGGCTTCTTGGGTTCTGTGCTTTTTGCAGAAGTGCCTGATTCAGTGGAGAGCCCGTCTGGAAGCCGCTTTGTTGTTGCCGCATACCTTGGATATGAGTATTCATCTAAAGCCTGCCTTGTTTCTGGCAAAGTTGGACCTGAGAACGCACTGAAGGTGTTTAAAGCCAAGTCCATCCGTTTGCTAAATAAGATAAGGCTTGCTGTGGAGTTGTGTCCATTCTTGTTTTCAGAACCCCCACAACCTGGCGAGGGACCGTCAATTGACCAGCAGATCCATGAAGATCCAAACTTGAAATTAATGCCACCAAGCATGCCCAAGTCCGGACCACCTAAAGAGTGGTTGGATCGTCACGGAAGAACTGAGGGGTGTTCTGCGTGTAGAAGCGTAAAGCTACACGGTAGAGCTCATTCCGTAAAATGTAAGCGTAGGTATCTTGATTGGGAGCGTTTGCAAAGGGAATCATCCACTAGTATTTCAGGGAGCCAGCCGGTTAGCCAGCCTCTTGAGTTACCAGTTAGACCTCCTGTTGTTGACCAGCCTGACAATAATTCTAATGCCTACTCTCCTTCTGACTTTGACGAGATGGACCTTGATGACCCAGATGGATTGGATGATGATGATGTTGATATGGATATTCCACTAGGTGAACAGTTGCCTGATTCCCCAATGGATATATCTTTAATGCTGAGCAAGTTGATTGCCCCAAAATTCGATGAAGAAAGTCTCGACGCTGCCACTTTTGACAACCATGTCATGTCCCATTTTTGTGGGCAGTTCACCCCTGAGCCTGAAAAGTACTATCAAGACCTAGGCCTAGCAAATGACTTAGATCCAAAGAAAGGAATTTTATCCCCCTTCTATCTACCAAAGATCGGAGAGCCGACAGAATTTAAGAGTTTCCAGCTTGGTGGCAGTACCGTATTCCTTGCGACGCCCGCCCGGGTTTTCTCTGAAAATAAGCCACTGGACCGAGACCTCGCGATGCAAGGCCGTCTTGTTGAGCTTGAAGCTCTGAACCGTGTGCGGTTTGGAAAAATCGTTAGTAAAAAGGAATGCGATAAGTATTGCCAACTTCATGGAATCAAACCAATCGCTTGCCGTTGGGTCCTTGGATCTAAAGAGATCGACAACAAGCCTGGAGTGAGATGTCGTTTGGTTGTGCAGCAGATCGCTGCTGGAAACGGCGTGGCAGACACCCTTGGATACAGTTCGGCTACACCTTCTACAGAGGCTGTAAGAGCCCTTTTAATAGACGTAGCTTCTCAATGCCGGACCATCGGTGCGATGGACGTGAGCACCGCATTTATGCATGCGGATTTGCCGCCTGGCGTCCATGTTGCTATTCGGCTACCGGCTGATGTGCCTGCTACTAAAGACATCTGCCCGACATATGCAATAGCATCCAAAGCTTTGAATGGGCTCCGGTGTGCATCTAAGGCATGGCTCCAGCTGGCCAAGCAGGTCACCGAAAGCCATGGATTGTTGTCTTGCCCTACTGAACCTTGTGCATTCAAAGGTGTGTTCCGCAGGGGAAAGTTTTCTTGCCGCATGGTTTTAATTTTGTATGTTGATGATATCCTGGTAGGATGCGATTCACCTCACGGCCTGGAAAATCTTAGAGATGCTTTTCTTGACCGTGTTTCCAAAGTCAAAATCACGGGGCAGCTCAACCCTGACCAGCCTGGAACAATCATTTTTCTAGGAAGGGAGATTACTCGTTTTGCTGGGATTCATAGCTCGCGTACCCCCAGAATCATGGCAGTTTCTTGTTGAGAAGTCCAAGAAATCCGAAGCCTTGCCTGAATCCACCTTAGCTTCTTTGTCCGAGCCTTCAGAAATTGCTTCCGAAGCCACCCAGCCTTTGCTCATGTCAGGTTTGAACTTGACGAAGAGGATAGAATCCGATTTTCGAACAGTAGAAGACCACTTGAAGAAGGGAACTAAAGTTTGTCTTTTTCTGGAAATCTGCACAAAGGAGAAGTCTGGATTTTTCAGCCAAGATGGTAAAGTTTTTCATGGATTTCGATTTTGTGTTGTTCAAGTGACCAGACAAGATGATATCTGCAGGGTTAGTAAACCTTTACATGAACGCTTGGATATTCTTCAAAAGCGCTACAAGAACTTCCATGTTTGTCTCTGGTTTTCACCTCCGTGTACAGGAGGAAGCCCTGCGCAGTTTCTCGTTCCTGGATACGAGTTCCGTCAATCCGAACATTTTCAGATTTTTGCGAAAATCTGCAAAAGTGCCCAAGGTCTCTTTGAGAAGGCCGCAGCATGTTTCTTCGAAATGTCCCGACCTGGCCAATTTTGGAAAAGCCGCCTTGTTTTGGAGCTCATTTCTAAATTTAATTTGAGTAGCACCAGCTACTATGACCGATGCAGCTATAGTGAAGAGGAGTTGCCGCCAGTTAAGCATACTTTCAGAGTCCAGGGAAGCGTCCCGCTTCAGCCTAAGCTTCGGTGTATCTGTGAAAGACACAGACCACTTTTCCAACAAAATCTTGAGGAAATGGAAGTGTATCCGGTCAGAATGACTAAAGAAGTCGCTTCCAATGTTTGCCGACATTTTAGGGACGATTTCTCATAGCTGGATCCAAAGAGAGTTTTTCATGAAACTTGGAATGGCAGTAATACTTTTGCCCAGCAGACCACTGCTTTGCGTTTTTTCATCCACGTAGATGTTATGTTCCGATTGCCATTAATAATGTGAAATTTGCCTGCCCGTTGGATCGACAGTGCCCACTTAGATTCCGGTGCGATAATTTTAACTACCTCGGTTTTGCCGGATGTGAAAGGTGTGGGGGGGTGTGAGATGAATCCACCGGATCACAGTGACATGTCACAGCATGTTGTATCACCATCAGTTGCCCCGAAGCGACAGCTGTTGGTTCTTTGTATCAATAGAATCCGGCAGATTCAGATCTCATTGATTTCAGTCCCCATCCTGAAACTGTATCCACCTCCTCATCCGACACCGAGTTAAGTAAGGAATTGTGTTGATCCGATCTATGGACACAGATTCTAGGAATGAAAGCAACGACATGTAACGTTCAGGTGCCATTAGGTTTTGATCCCCGATGCTGTAACGTGTGTGAATTCATTCTCGAATCTGTGTCCAGACCAGACATATTGACAGATTTCAAATGGTGAAGTGCCAGAGGACGGAGATGTGAAATGCACACATGTTTCTCATCACATGTGTAATTTGATCTTGATCGGTTCGGCCCTGAGCCTCACCATACAATCACCCTTTGGACGATTTCCGCATAGCTGAGAATGCAGTTTACCTCCATTTGTGTCAACGCATTTCATCACTCGAGTTGAGCTCAGTTTTTCCCCTGAAAGGTTGTCACAAGTCCGGTGAAGACAATCAAAGTTTTTATTTCTTACTTGAAAGATGGATTTGGGAGCCGTTTCCACGCCTCGGAACTGAGAAAGTTTGGATTCTGAATCCTAGGATTGTGTTTAAAATCAGACCAAACCTCAACAAACTCATTTGAATGTTTTCCGTTTGTTTCAGTTTGGGAGCAGTGGAGACGATTCGGTTTGGAAGGCTACACAACGTGTTTTTGGCCTCATGTGTTTTTTTCCCACGGAGTAGGCGCATAAGTGAACTGAAGAAGTGGGCTGCATGCCAAATTGTTTGGCTCAAGCTCGAGCTGCAACAGAGACATCTGTAAGCAATCTGTGACTGTCTGTGACTGGTGCTCTCGCCTCGACGTTTGACGCCATTCGAATTTCAGCGACAGACTGTTATTAAAGGCAGAGAAAAGTGCGGCATTTTTTTTTGAAGAGCTTCTATCTGAAGAAAGAAGGTTGAAGGATTCTTGAGAAATTTTGCCGTACCTGCTCTCTACTGGGTGTAGAGTTTTCGCATTTCTAGGTGACCAGTTTTATTCATTGCTGCTTAACTGCCATGGTAAATTTCGGTCGAAAATCCCGCTATGACTAATTATCTTGGTTGGGTTGCCCGCCAAGGTACAGGATCTTGCTGTTTTTTTTCCAGTCACAAAGCTGAAATGATATGATCTTGGGTCGTTCCCACTAATGCATCCAGGGTGACGTCCTGGTGCAAAAACTGAAGTCGGTCCATGCTGGGGCTTCCCAAATTCACTTCCCAACGGATTTTTCGGAGACCTGAAATCACAATGACAAAAACACATGAAAAACAAACACCCCAACTGCAGCCGCACGGATGTACCCTCTGGTAATTTGACATAGCTATTGAAAATGACCATAGAAATAGTGGATATTTACCCATTGAAAATGGTGGATCTTTCCATAGTTTTTTGTATGTTTACCAGAGGGTACCTACTATTGACACCAAGATGCAATTGTAAATCCCCTTGGAGCGTGTCTGGGTCTCCGTTGCAGCTGTCGTGGCAGGCGGTGCTTCGCCGCCGGTCCTGGTGCTGTGCAAAGAGGATGTGATGAAGCTACAGGAACCTCAGCTTATGAATAAAAACGGTTGGTTAATATATACATCCATTTATCAAACAAATATCTGAATCTATTCCAATGTATTATCTATGGAAACCCTAAAATGCTGGTGATTCTTTAAAAACTTCTCTGAGAAAATAAGAACAACATGACATGCAAGTTGCACCTCCCACTTTGACCAAGTGTTGCCAGCCCCCTGGGCACCAAGGATCTGCAGTGCTTGCTTTTAGAATTACTGATGCAACCCATCTGAGATGCATCATTTCCATGGGCAATTCTTGCTGCAAGCGACAGGATGTAGTGCGATACTATGGGCTACCTGCATGAACTGACCCTGTTAACGGTAGTTCAAACCTGGCTTAAAAATCACCATGCTTTCATAGGAACCATTCTAATATGGACCACCACAAAAATCATACAAGCTCATATACAAGCATGTATAAAAGCTCAATTTTCATGGCAGAACCATGTCTGGTTCGTGGTGCAATAACCATCTTGAAAAATATGAGTTCGTCAATGGGAAGGATGACATCCCTTTTTTATTATGGAAAATAAAATTCATGTTTGAAATCACCAACCAGGTTATGTCAGATACCCTCTGGTAATTTAACATAACTATTGAAAATCACCATTTTTTATGGGTAAATCAACTATATACCCCAGTCATGTTAGCATATATACCAGCACCATGGATCCTATGGGTATGAAACCCTCAAGAAAACTCGGGAGCTTCGTCTTTGAAATCGACAACCCCCCCGCCTCGCTGCTTCTTCCCTGGGCTCCGCCGCGCCGATGGTCACCGGCGCCAGGGGTGCCGCACGGCCGTTGACGTGTGCGCCGTCGGCATAGCCGGCGGCCGCGGCGATGCCGGCAGTGGTGGGGGGCAGGTCCTGCGACAAAGCCAGCTGTTTGGGCGATTTTTTGAATGGAGCTGTGGTTGTGGTATACCTACCCCTCTGAAAAATGATGGAATTCGTCAGTTGGGATGATGACATTCCCAATATATTGTGGAAACATATAATCCAAATGCTCCAAACCACCAACCAGTTGATGAATGGAGCTGTAGCCAGCATACAGTGCACTAAACAACACCTTTTGGGCACTGCTTAGTCCAGTTATTCTTGGAATAGGTGGTCTGCCTCTGGCTTTTTGGGGTCTTAACTCTTGACCCATACTAGCCATATTACCCTATGCCCCATTGCTGGTGACAACTGTGTTTCTGGACCCGCCTCCATCGGGCAAAAGAAGGAGTCCAGGAACTGACTTTCTTCCACGGTCAACGTCCTGAGGCGCAACACCACTTTGGAATTTCAAAGTTGGGATCTATCTTGGGCCTGTGAGGGTCAGCCCAGTGAACCAAAACACACAACTTGATGAAACTATACTGGCCATTGATCCCATTGATCCCATGATTTACTATGCCTTTAACTCTTGGGGCATCGCTGAAGGTAGGCAAAAGACGAAAAAAGATTGGATGAGGATGTAGATCTTTTAAATGTTTGTGTCTGGCTCTCTTCCATGGATATCCATCATGCCATCCATATCATCCGAGCATTTTTTTCGGACATGATTCACGCCAGTGGTTTCAAACCATCCCAGCTAGAGATGGAGAATTGAACATACCCTCTGGTAAACATACAAAAAGCTATTGAAAATGGCCATAGAAATAGTGAGTTTTCCCATTAAAAATGGTGAATTTCCATAGTTATGTTAAATAACCAGAGGGTATTTGAAATCACCAGATCATGACTCACCCAAGGATGATTGGCCAATGATTGAATATGCCATGTCCACATACGGTGGAAGAAATCCGAATCACCAGCTGAAAACGGTGGTAAACATCCCACCATTTATAGGGTTTCAACCATCCGTTTGGTGGTTTATCGGATTTCGCTGGCCCATCCAGAGTATGTCCACATATATCATTAAAATAATGGGTCCTGAAATGGATACAAAGTGGGGCCCCCTAGATAGCTAAGTTGGTTTATAACTCCAATAACTATGGTTTATGGTACCTATAACTATAGTTAATGGGGTTTATAAACCATCTTATAACTGGGGGGCCCCCACATTGTATGAATCATATGATTCCAATGGATTCAGCTCGCAACAACTGCCAAGATACTCCCAAACGGGTGAAGCAGAGCCTTGAAAGCCTCGTTGGACCGTCGGCTCTCCGGAGGTGATTTTCCAGGTGGTTTCAAGCCCGTCCCTCCCAAAAGATCAACAAGCATAGTCAATGTGGATCAATGTGGATCATCATGCCAAATATGTGCCAAAAAACAGCCAACCGTTATGTGAAATTCGGGTTATGGCAATCTGTCCCAGTGTTGTTTTATCATTTTATGGCAATTTCACATTGCTGGGAAAATTCATATACCATCTGGTTATTTAACATAGCCATGGAAAATCACCATTTGTAATAGGTAAACCATCTATAAATGGGCCATTTTCCATGGCTATGTTAAATAACCAGAGGGTAGATCTGGATAGATCCGGAGTGAAATTTCACGGCTGATTCTCTGGGCCTTCCAACACGTTGGAAAAAGCCCGTTGTCGCAACCCACCCTCGGATAACCGTAACCTAGTGGGGCTGATAGCATAGATGCAGCCAACCACCGATACTCTGCAAACTAGCCCTATTAATATCATGAGTATCATTTTTTTTAATAAATCCCATAATAGTTCATAAATGATTATAAATGATGTCTATAATCATTATTATGGGATTATGGGATTAAATCATGTTCAATATATAGATAATCCCATATAATCCCATAATATCCCATGGCCCTCTGATCATTGAACGTAGCGAACTGGAAAATCACCATGTTCCACTGTCCGGTTCGCACCTGTTCGCTACGTTCCAAGATCCGCTACCGAGAGGCATTCGTCCGTGAGGAGCGTGCAGAGATGCGGGCAGGGGGAATTAGCTCCCGGGCGATAGACCTCCGTTCCCGGCAACGACACACGGATCCCTTTATAGCAGTAATGTGGTTAAAACAATAATAAACCACCGATTTGGGAATGGTTTATACCACCTATTTATGGTGATTTGGGGGATTGGTTGTTATTGTTTGAACCACATTATAACATATAATATATATATATATATGTATATAACATATAAAGGGATGTATATAGGGATGTTAAATAACTATAGGATAGATACAAGATGTATCAATATGTTATAGCGACTTGGCAGAGACCTGATAGGATAGGGATAATATGGAGATGTTATAGGGATATAACCTGATAATAGAGATGTTACAAAGGGACTTGACAGGGATGGATAACAAACTAACATAATAATTTAATATAACGGATATTAACTATCAACAGGGACATGACGATCAACAAAAATGGTTTCATAAATAGATCCTATACCGTCGTGTAATCAAACGTGGCTGGCTGGAAAACCCCGATGGAGGATCTTTCAGCAAACTATACTTTAGCAGTCTGGCAGGCCTCTTTGTCTGTTGTGGGGGCCAAGAGGTTGGAACTAGTTGCAAAGTCTATTCAACTAATCATTAAAAATTGAATCGATTTTCATGAATACCAATCAATTTCGTAGTATATTATACTCTAGCAGGCTTAAGGGGGTATTGAATATTACTGGATACTGGGAAGGGAATATGAATATTGTCTGAAATTACACCGTGATGGCACCCAGACATAGCTCGGGATGAACCAGTTCATCGGGAGCCCGCTGCAGTTCTTCTTGCCCTACACACCGCAGCCTCTACGAAAGCTCAGTGCAGAAATTAAGAGCTTCTCCTTCAACATTGGATGTTCGAATTCGCATGAAAACATTGAAACGCAACAAAAAAAGAACAGTTCCTTAGTGCTTGTACTAGTGGTTTATTCAAAAATCTATGGTATATGGTACAGGATGGGGCCCCCCAGTTATAAATTGGTTTATAAACCATTATAATCCCCATTAACTATAGTTATATCTACCATAAACCATTGAATTCAGCCACTTATAAACCAACTGAACGCTATCTTGGGGGCCCCATCCTGTATCAATAACCTAATTATTATATGTCCATAAACCGCGACCCATCTTGGCCACTCCAGAGCCGAGGCACGGTGCAGAAATGGTTGTTCCGAAAGAGCACGCAGACCTCGCCCGTTTGCACCTGAGGATGGAACGTGAACTCCGGCACAATGTGAGGTCCAGCAGTTATAAGATGGTTTATAAACCCCATTAACTATAGCTATAGGTACCATAAACCATAGTTATTGGAGTTATAAACCAACTTAGCTATCTAGGGGGCCCCACTTTGTAGGAGGATGTGAATGGCATTACCCATGACGGATCCATGGTGCTGGTAGAAAAATGCTAACATAAATGGGGTATATTGATGGGATCCATGGCACACCATATATAGCAGCACCATGGATCCGTCATGGGTTATACAACTGAAAACTGGGCCTCAATGGGCCTTGTAAAGCTAGAAGAATGTTCCTAAATCTTGATTTGGGGAAACCTTGGCCGCGAGAACTTGTCGTTTCCCAAGGCAGTAAGAGGGGGGAAGCACCGTGGACAAGGCCCTGAATGGTACACGGTCTTCACCAGCAATGGTTTGATCAATAACTTCACATGCCAAGGGTTGATGCACAATGGATTTCACGAACATTTGCAAATTCGATGCCATTCTTGCCGTTTCGGGCCCAATGAAAGTGCAAACTTCCTATGAAAACCACTGACCAAGCAAGTTGAAATGTTGAAATCATTGCCATGGGTTCACACCCTATAGATACCCTACAGTAACATCGGCAGTTCACAACTTGACATCTCATCCAGCCTGGCCACATTTTGATGTGAAAAGTGTTGGGAACAGGGTGCCACTGAAGTACCCTCAATCTGGGTGATTCACTCCTCCACCAAAGTCTCTAATGCTTGTTGGTTGTATGGTATCCCAATCAGGCTTGCTTTTTTGCCCGTACTTCCGGTGTGCGTTTAGGCTCACACGTTTGTTGGTGAAGCTCCCATTTCTGACCCTCAAAGTCACACGTGTGTTGATTAAACATCATTCAACATCATAAACCATTATTAAACAACTGGTTGGTGGTATACCTACCCCTCTGAAAAATACGAGTTCGTCAGTTGGGATGATGAAATTCCCAATATATGGAAAGTCATAAAATTCCATGGTTCCAAAGCACCAACCAGTTATTAGACAATCATTAAACCATCACACCTTTGTTGATTACCCTCTGGTTATTTAACATAGCCATGGCCCATAGAAATAGATGATTTTCCCAGCTATAAGCCTCCATTAAAAATGGTGGATCTTTCCATGGCTAACTGTTAGTCATAACCAGATGGTAATTCCCATATCATCCCACTATTCATATTCACCATTGTTAACCCATTGTTAAACCATTAAATCATCATTAAATCACCATTTACAGTGGGTAATTTATAGTGGTAAAACATCATGAAACACACCTATTAAACACCCATATCTTGGGATCCCGTGGGCAACCATCAACCATCGTTGCCACGCGACCTGTCGTTGCAGCTCCTTGATGCCTCTCTCGGTGCTTTGGGCGCGATTCGCCTCCCACCACTCCTTGGGTTCGTTGGGAAAGCACCGGTAAAATCAACGGAAACCTTGGATTCTTTATGGATTTTTCCAGAGGAAACCATGGTTTTTCTATGTTGACCTTGTATTCACCTCAAGTATCACCTCAAGTATCACCTTAAGTATCACCTTAAGTATCACCTTAAGTATCACCTTAAGTATCACCTTAAGTATCACCTTAAGTATCACCTTAAGTATCACCTTAAGTATCACCTTAAGTATCACCTTAAGTATGTTTAACATGTTGAACCTCAAACATCGCTGGAAAATCCCCGAACCAATGGAGCTTTCTAGCTTGGAAACTCATTCAAGACAACATTTCAGTAGCAAATTAGCACTATACTGAGGGGTCCATCAACCAGCAACCAGGGTTTATAATCCGGGGTTGACTTTTTCCATCTACCTGCATTATCCTGAAAGCATATCATCCATCGGTGCATATCGGGGCTTTCTCTTTTTGTTGGTCCCGCCGTCCCGCCCAACACAGTTTGTTTCATTCCACAACAGTGCTTCTACAGTCACAACAGTGCCAGCTTCTAAGTGAACAGCTGCAGCAACAAAATAATAGGTGTTAACCTACCCTTCATCAGTTGGCTTTCCCATCTGTTCAGTCTGTGAAAATGGTGAAATCATGGCAAATCGATGGTGTTTCTGACCAGAAGTTCACCTGGGTAACCCCCATCCTGTGCTGGTCAAACAGCAATTTTTGGGCAGAAACCCGCCTGCATCAAGGCAGCCTTTGTGAGGAGTTCCTCATCATTTTGGGAAAGCTCCTGGGAAAACGCGAAGACCATGGAAAAACAATGCCCAAAATGTTCCATGCTGCTGGAAGATGTATCAACATCACACATTCATCACCCAGTTTTGTAGGTAATATGGAGGTTTCCTGAAATAGAACTACCCCCAAATCATCCATTTATAGATGGATTTTCCATTGTAAACCCATTTCAAAGTACCCCCGTGGCTATGGAAACCCCCATATATACCATACGCATCTGGGATGGGGAAACCAGCCAAGTTTGTAGGTATTTTCCATCAAAAACATGCGGAGAAGCATGAGGAACAACTAGGGAGTCTTGATCAACTAGCATTCACTTAGTTCTCAGGAAACACTACAGTATACTATAAGAAAGAACACTATATCAAACTATAGTTGTCAAACTTGCACCAACAAAGTATTGGCGCGTTTTCATGTGTTGCTTTCTTTCCCCCCCAAAAAAAACAACGTGGACATCTCATCTCCATCCAGGAATCGAACACAGCAATGGACAATCACCCATTTCTGGGGAATATGAATGTGGGGAATATGTAGGGAATATTAGTGGAATATGGGGAATATTAGGGAATATGAGTGGAATGTCAACTGCAGAATGATGATGGATGTATCAATGTATCATGATGATCCCATTTTGAAAAAGACCTCTATTTATAGGGGATGTTCCATTGCTATGTTTGATTACCGGACGGCAAATGTTCTTGATTTTCACTTGCACCGCGCACATTTTGGATTGCTTAAAACCTAAATTGATACATCTCCATGTCATGCTTCTCACATTACCCATCCTTCTTGGTAACAACCCATTTCTTTCTTGTGGTGAAAACTCATGAAAACTGACAGTTCTCTTGGCGCAAGCGCCTTACTGCCCGGCTGGTTAAAAATTGTGCAAGCAGCTGCCCGGCAATCACATGTAACCACTCCCTGTTGGGGTTTTATACCATCTTGGCATGGGGAAAGAAAGGACCCATGGGTCATATTCAATGGCCATGACTCAGGAACCGATAAACATTGGAGGTACCTACCATTAATATAAGGCCTATATTAAATTCAGGTCTAAATTTCAGGCAATATCCCCAGAATTCATATGGCCAAACATATGGTACGTTTACGTACCTCCATCAATTGGATCCTTTTTTATTCCCATGGCCATTTGGTCATTTCAATAGGTTTTCCAAGCCAGCTTGGTCCGTATACCAATGCTGGTTGGTTAGGGATTCCCAGCTCATGGATGTTCATCATGGCTTTACTGAGAAAAAGCCTCCCAACTAAAAAAAACAGCCATCATTTACAGTATCATATCCACTTATATCTGTTGACTACTGAATCATGTTATATCCACTTATATCTGTTGATTACTGATGAATCATGTTCTATCATGTTATATCCACTTGTATCTGTTGAAGCTTGAACATGGTTGAACCCCCTCATGTTTTTTTTTTCGACATCAGCCACCGACCGCCGCTTGCCTTTTCCGAACGTAGGCTTTGGACTTCGGCTGCTTTGGCCAGAAGGTCCTGTAAATCCTCGCCCGCGGCAGATGGGGCTTCGGGATCCCAGGTGTTATGGAAGGGTCATAGGAGTACCCCCAGTTATCATCCATTTATAGATGGATTTTCCAATGATATCATCCAATGATAGGCCAATAACAGTAATAATATCATATAATGAAGATCATATAATAGTAATCTAGTTGATGGTTTCAACCATCTTGAAAAATATGAACGTCAATGGGAAGGATGACATCCCATATATTGTGGAAAATAATAAATGTTTGAAACCACCAACCAGATTATCTATTTATAGATGGATTTTCCATGAAATAAACCATACAGCTATTGGGTGCCCTGGCTATGGAAACCCCCAAATATACTGAAATACTATTCGAACATAGATGAAACCACGGTATAGCATGTGAATCAGTAGTTGATTCTTTGTAGCCAATTTTGATGCTTCCCATACATCTCATTTCATCAACATACAAAGGGCAAACAACAGTGCGGATTTGAACAAATGTGTCAGTGTATGGAACAGTTGTGGTTGGTGGTTTCAACCCCTCTGAAACATATTAGTCAGTTGGGATCATTATTCCCAATACATGGAAACATAAAATTCATGTTCCAAACCACCAACCAGTTCTGTGATTTTTAAACAGGGACAATTTGGATCGCAAAATCTCAGAGGTTAGTTAAGACTATCGCAGTCATCTTGTCCGGAATGCTCGGGTCGATGAATTCCATCTCCATCCACCGTGGTTCCAAAAAGATGCCGAGTTGAGTATTGGACAGGATGTTTCCCGACTAAACTTCCCCTCAACAAATCCGGGTGTACTCTGATGCCATCTTCATCGGCAATTATATCCTTCCTAAACTTGGCATCCAAGGTGCATTCCACGTGGGTACAACTTTGTGCACCTGGCCGATTTGCTTCGCGAAAGACCCAAACATATCCGAAACACGAGAGTTCATCAACAAACATGTGGGCATATACTCGGATATACCTGATATTACTTGATACATGATTGCTGTGTGATGATTCTAGGGACCTGTTAACACACCTGGTGTTTTGGGAATTATTATCACCCATAATGAGAATCCCAGTCTCAAACAACCCGCATTTTTTCAAACAATTGAACAGCGCGTCCAAAAAGGAATGTGCAGAGTGTAAAATATAAAAAATCGAATTGAAGCCACCAACCAGCAAGTCTTGACATGCTGGAGGAGCGAGAGAAGTGAAGAACAACCGAAATCAACAAACTGATTCATCCGATGTAAATTCGGTTGTTTGCACAACCAATGGAAACTCGTCATCTTCATGACTCCAAAAAAAACAACAGGCAACCTAAACAAAATCATCAAGCACTTCAAGCTGGATCACAGCGACTTAGTCATCCCCAAACCATTACAGAATGATATAAAAAAATATAATACGTATGATTAGTGAAGATTCACTCACATCATCATCATCATCATCATCAGCTATAGTCATCTATAATCATCCCCAAACATTTAAAAAAAAAACATATGGTGAAGATTCACATCACATCATGACTTGTTATATTTTTTTAACATCCCCTTGTTGGGGGCGTTATTACTATCCTTCCCAAGCATCAGACGTCCGCCAAACGTCCAGGTCATGCAACCTATGGGGAGGACTTCCATAAATGAAGGGTACTTCCAGGTATACATCCATTTATACTATTTATATCTATTTATAATCACCCCAACAAAAAAGATTTCAAAAAAAAATACATGGGGATACCCCCAATGATTATCTATTTATAGTTACTATATGGGGGTACCCCCAATGATTATCCATGATACCCCCACTAAGTATTAATACAGTAGATGTTCCATATGGGGGTACCCCCATATCATCTATTTCTAGATGGATGTTCCATAAAGAAAACTAAGCCATCCAGCTACCCTTTGTGCCTCTGGATCCACCCACACATGGTGAAGTTGTAACCTCAGAGGATCACAAATCCACCTGAGGAGCCTGGTAAACCATGGGAAAACCATGGGAAAACCATGGGAAAATGGGAAAACCATGGGAAAACCATAGGAAAACCATAGGAAAACCATAGGAAAATGGAGGTTTACCCTCTGGTAAACGTTAACAAAAAACTATGGAAAGATCCACCGTTTTATAGCTGGGTAGATCAACTATTTCGACTGGGCCAGTTTCAATAGCAAACTGTAAACGTTTGCCAGGCCGGGTATCCATTATTATCCATATACATTATAGTATCATCCAGAAATACCTCAGTTGTATCATCTATGAAAAAATATGAGGAGGATCCATGGTGAAGCTGAAGCTCAGTATCATCTACAATGTGATTCGGTGTGATGCAAATAGATTTTTCCGAATCTGGGACGTTCCGTATTGAATCGTTGAATCATCAAAAAAACATCGACATTTCAAGTTCAACCATGTTCAACCCCAAAAAAATCACAACATCCATAGCGACATCCGAAAATTCCATTCACATCAGTTTTTATGAAACATCACTTCTTTGGGCGTCAAACTTAGGAATTTCCCAGGCATAAGGAAAGCTTGGAGGAGTTTGGTCCATGTGAAACTACCCCAAAGCCAGAATTCAGATCTTCAGTTTCTATATATACTGGTTGGTGGTTGAGCCTACCCCTCTGAAAAATGATGGAGTGAAGTCAGTTGGGATGATTATTCCATTCCCAATTAATATGGAAAAATATAAATTTCATGTTCCAGTCACCACCAACCAGTGTTTGTTGGTTTATAAACCATTATAATCCCCATTGATTAACTATAGTTATACCAGTTGTATCTACCATAAACCATATGTTAATGGTTCCAGTCACCACCAACCATATATATATATTATCAATGGATTGGTTCAAGGGAACATTTTACAGGACCCCCCCAAAAAAAAACTTGGGAAAATCTCTGGTTTCCGGTGAAGATGTTCCCTTCCATTTGATGACAGATGGGGATGGGTCAAAACCCAACAAATGACATATTATGACCATATGACTGGAGGGATAAACATACATTAACCAGCTGTTTTAGGGTAGGGTGTCAGAGGCCATAATAGGCCATATACTCATCACTGACTGGAGACTTAGTGACTTCCAGGATTTTCGCATCTGGTTTGCAGGGTGAAGCAATGTTCATTCTTGGGAATCCATGCATATTCTTCTTGGGTCATCCAAACACAAATTACCCCAAGGTGTACCCAGTGTGCCTGGCCGGCTAAACATGCAAAAACATCTGGAAAACCCCATGGGTTTCCCTCAGAAAATGATCCACTTACACGCAAAATATCACCCTCCCCAGGGTTTCACCGTGGAAAACGCCAACATCAAGCAGCTTGAAGAGTTTGAAGAGTCCAGTACCTCAGAGACAGAGGTTTTCCACCTGCGGGAATCCATGTCTGTTTTTTTGGGACTGGCTAAGATGGCTAAGATGGAGATGCATCTCCATAGTTTTTTGGTGTGATCCAAATGTGACAATGAAACGGCACGGCGCCCCGAAATGGTCAAACGTGATGCGGAAACTGTGCGTCAACCTCCAAATAAGTCCCCTGAAATCCATGGATCTCCCAAGAGATTCTCTGAAAATAGGAGAACCTTCAATCTATGGCTATATTCATGGTAAATGATAAACCATGAGTTAATTTTCAGGTGTTCCAAAAGATTTACAGACCCCGATAATCCCAGATATTTGTCGATTGGATTTCCGCCGCAATAACCACATGGTTTCGGGATGTTTTGAGCTTCCAAAAAACGTCCAAAGCTATTGCGGTCAACTTCCAGACAGGGGACCGACCAAAGTGCTGGAGCACTCTTGGAAGCTGCTGCAAGAGCCAAAATCGCAGTTTACCTCACTTGGGCCGCCATGAACTGTGCGATTCTGGCAATTTCTATGGATTTCTCATGATTTGTCCAACATGGAGGACTTACCCTCTGGTCATCAAATCTCGCGGGGAAATCTCTGCTTCAACAAGTACTGCAAATAGTTTTGGTTGCTCCAGAATATCATGGAACTGCATCATCCACCGTGTATCAACTTTGCGGGGACTTTGCGCGTCATGATTCCAGTAGCTTTGGCTTCCTACTTGTCCATGGCAACTGTGTCATCTAAATCTCTACCCTCTGGTAAACTAACATAACTATGGAAAATAGCAATTTTTAATGGGAAAACTCACTATTTCTATGGCCATTGTCAATAGCAAACTGTTAGTTTACCAGAGGGTAAATCATATGGATGTGTCATCATCTAAAAGTAGGAATTTCATGGGGATTTTGATGACATGATGACATGCCCAATTTTCAGGTATCCCCCTGGGTATAAAAAACCAGTGGCTTGGTTCCCTTTGTAGGGGAAAAAATCTGCTGGTCCTGAGGGTTGAAGCCGAAGTGGCGGAAAAAAATAGGGCACGACATCACCTCTGACGGCCATGAACGGAGTGTAGCTAAGAGAAAAACCGGGGAATGGGAATACATTAAAGGCCTTACAATCCCGTTCCCTATGTATTTCCAATAAATAATTATATATGTAGTTATATAATGTTATATAATTATATATACATACATACATACAATACATAATCAATCCATATCAATCCCATTGATATTCCCCATTTATTCCCCAATTCTAGGATTACTCAACCAAGGTGAACCCAGAGTGCAGCCAAGCTGCAAGCAACCCATCCAAAAGCTTTGGCATAGTGCCTCGCTACATCTTCACCCACCATGCGAAATCAAAAAGGGTGGATTTATCTGGGAAATCAGTCTCAAATTGCCATAAACTTTGGGGGTACTGTACCCTATTGCTAGACTAACCCAGTAACCCATGTTGACTTAGCAACACAAATAACATCCATGTATCCAACATGTCCAGAAGTTTCTCAAGAAATCAAACGATGACAAGTTGCATAATATATTTCATATATATATATTCATGTGTATATATATATACATGTATATATATATATATATACAATCATATATCTATCTCGACAAGTAAACCAGTCATGGTCAGAGGTGTCAAACTACTATTGCACTCTAATCGTCATGGTGAGGTCAGACTGACCCCGGCCTACTCACCACCAGTTTTGTTTGGGCCATACGTTCCAATACTTCAACATATCGAAACCAACCATATATCATATATATATAGATCATCTGAAGCCTGGAGAAAGCAATTTCAACAACATGAGCCATGTAAACTTCGATGATGTTCATGATTCATGATACCCCGCTGGGATTTCCCCAGCGGGGAAATTCCATGAATCCCATGACACCAGAGGCTATCAATCAACCAATATAACCCATGAATCTTCCATGAGTATTCCATCATTTTCGTATATGTTTATATAAATGTTCCATTCATCTGGAAAAAATCAATTACTCACATATACCTGCAATATTACTAACCTATACGAAATATATGATTCACATATTCCATCATTCACCAATAACAATTCACTCACCTGCAATATGCTGTGTGGGGATGTTTGAGGATAATTCCCCACGACGATATCCCGATATCTCCAGTGAAAAAGCCACCATTTCCCTCTGGTAAACGTCTACATAGCTATGGAAAATCACCATTTTTGATGGGTAAAATCAACTAGAAATTGCCATTTTCAATAGCAAACTGTTAGTCATTACCAGAAGGTTTTGTTGCTGAAATCACGACCAAAGTGCTGACGACTTCACGCACACGTTGTGCCAGAGTAAAGTCGTCCTGACGGAAGGAGTTACGGTTGGACGGAAGTCGTGGGAGACGGAGTTGGATCGGAGGTTTATGGATGAAGATTGGAAGATATGGTGAGAATATGAAAGTTTTAGAATGAGATAGATATCCTGATATAACTGATGAGATGGTGATCAACTAGGGGATTTTTTGAGATCCATGTTTTCAAAAAATCCCTTTTGATTTCACTAAGTTGCTTTGAACGTGTTTCCGTGTTTCCTCAGATAGGGTGGATTGAATCAACGTCCTTTCCGCATAATTTTCTTTGAAAGGGATCTAACATGATCTAACGTCTTTATACAATCTCTGGTTGGTGGTATACCTACCCCTCTGAAAAATATTAGTCAGTTGGGATGATTATCCCATATATTATGGAAACATAAAAAAATGATTGAAACCACCAACCAGTTTTTCAATTTGCTCCATAATTCAATCTGACTTTGCCTTGTTCCAGGTGGTTTTCCGCCACCCCGCCATCCCCAGGTCCACAGCCCAACAAAATCTGTGGTTTCCGATCATCTTTCCCTCAAAAATGGAGTGGGACGTGGGATGTTTCACCCACAGCGTCGTGGGGTCGTGGTAAATAAAGGTCCCGGATCCCAAGGTAGTTCTACTGCTTCCCACGGTATCATGGCCACAGATCCTGCATGGCTTGCAGATTGAGCTCTTCACACAAGTACGACAGGCGACTGACCAAGTCTCGACCTGGGTGATGTGGGATTCACCTGCCACAAAGCTACCACTGGGGATCTGTTGTTTAACCAGCCATCTAGCTATCTATGGAAATATGTTAAAATCATATTGGGAATGGCTTATAGAATCTTATAGAATTGGTTTTACCACATTACTTTAGATCTTTGAAACCAGGAACCTCTAGTGATTATCCACTTTCAACTATCCCTTTTTCGGTGTGGTTTCAATGCCCCCTGGCCTGGCTTCCTGCGACTGTGGCTGGCGCCACTGACCATCATCTCTAACTACTGGTTGTGAAAAACTGGGGGTACCGGGTTACATCTGTGTCTTCCCCTCCAATGATTAATCAACAAACCACTGGGAATGGACAATTGGAGAATTTCCCATTTCCATCAAACATGGTGATTTACATGTCCATCAAACATGGTGATTTACCATTGCCAGGTTAGATTATCAGAGAGTAACAACCGATGGGGAAAAACACCATGACAGGTCCAATCTGAGATACCCTCTACATTTTTGAAGCTAAAAAGGTAACTATTCCCATATGCATGGCCAGTCTTGGACGCAAAAAAAACCCAGTTTGTAGCAGCCAACGAAGACTTAGTGCATTTTACTACCAGCCATCCAATGTTGACAGAGCAAATATCCTACACTATATATATATATATATATATATGCAGCTGGAGAATGGCAGTGAGCGTTGGGCTCGGTGTTCAATGGGCTGATGTCAAATGAAAAGAATGCTAAACCACGATCAAATCCAAATGTCAACCCAAGTGCACAAGCGCACTGTTTTCCAAGGATCGCCAATGATCCTACGCATCCATGGCTTAGGAGTAGCCGTGCAAACAAGGGGCCCCTTCCTGAGTGGGAACGCCAGCGGACGAACAACCTGACAGCCAGGAGGTGAAAGTTGCATCACCCCAAAAGGAAAAATCAGGTTGTGAGTCTTTGACTCGATCTATGGCACTCACTGCTGTATGGCCTTTCTTTGCGTTCTTCTTCGCTGCAGTAAATGTTGGATCAAAAGCTACGCACCATAGCTTCGTCTTCAAATACTTTAAAAGACCAAAACGGCAATCTGGCCGTTTCTTCGTCAAAGCATCTCCTAAATCATAGTCACTTGCAAGCCATCTCAGAAAACAGTGGGTGCGAATCATGCTTTCACGGAGTTGCAAAGCTTGAAGTGCAGATCTAAGATTGCTCAAACCGAGCATAGGACTCTCGTTGACCTGGACTGCATCATAACCACCCTTGGAGTCTGTTCCAAGAATGCCAACAGTGTTACGGACTTGGTTTTCCGCCCAGGCAACTTGATCAACTTGGGGTGTTCGGTGCCAACCAGCTCCATGCATCTCAGTCCAGAGAAGGCGCACACGGAAGTTATGGTCTTCGCCCTCAAGAGCAGCTTGAACTTCCGCATCATTCGAGCTGATTGCCTTGCGCTTCAGCTTCCAGCTCTTCCAAGACAGAAGAACCATTGGACAGACATGTCCATGTTTGGCCTCGGGGCCAGCCATCAAAGTCACAAGGCCACCAGTGGAATCGCCACCAGGACGGTTGCTGTGAGCTTGGTCTGAAAGCGTGACCACGATGATATCCTTCCAGGACTTCGCAGTCTTCAGCTTGAAGAACTTGAGCTCGGTAGGCTGCTGTCGTACTTCGCCAATCATCCGCTGAATCTCAAGCGCTGACGACATTTTGGCATACTTTACAAGTTCAGAAAGCAGTAGGTTACATCGTGCACAAAGAAGAGGTTGTGTTTGTATCGCTAACCATTGCAAGGATCCAAGAGCGCCACGGCATGCTGCAAGTTCGTGGCTGGAAAGAGTTGCATTTTCGTCACGTAGACGATCCGCAGGAATGTTCACATCTGTGAGCATGTCAATGTAGTACTGCTGATTGATGGTAATCACCTGGTCGCCATCGCGATCGCGAGTGATCTTCAAATCAGTACCAGCATGTCTGTACTCATTGGTTTTCGCCATGCCCCATTTGTATGCTTCGTCAATGCGCTTGCAAACATATTTCCACTCTTCAGATCTGGGATTACCACATCGATGAAAGTCGTCGACATGGCCGCCCATCATGCCAATGACAATGGGATTGCCATCTTCATCTTTCTCATATTCACTGGCCCAGATCCAGAGACATCGTTCACCCATGGCGGGTTTGCCACCAAGTTCACATAGCTTGTTGTGCAAATCAAGCCATAGTCCACGAGGCGCAGTAGTGGAGCCATAGATGTTACGCTGGATACGCATGATGCTTTCAGGTCCAACTTGAAGAGCTTCTCGCAGTTCTGCTACGCCTGATGTCCAAAGTCTGGCATCAGCGCTGGTTGGTGCAGTTTGGAGAAAGGCTGTTGCAAGATCTAGTCCTTCAAGAAACCAATCATGTTGACATACGTTTTGATATAGCAGGTTTCTGGCTATCACTGATTGGACTGGAGAACTGGTCTTGTAGTCTGAGGAGCCTAACTCAGGGTGCTCATAGCCTAACAAGACAATTCTTGCTTTGGCTTTCTTGAGTCCATCACTGGTGTGGACGGTCTCTTTGTTGGAGCGTGCATCTTGTACTGCTTCTTGTCGATCTTCAGGTGGTATCAGCTTCCAAGTCAAAACCCAACGCGCACGAAGGATGCGCCCAGAGCCAAGAGCTTCTTGGATTTCACGGTCATCCAAGCACTTTCTGACAGCTTGGTTCTGCAGAAATGAGTTCACTTCTTTGGACTTGGCTCGAGTGAACAGGTCCTTGTGCTCGCTGCTAAGTTTGCTGAAAACAACTTCAGAGTCACGAAGCTTTTTGACCAGGAACGCTGTGGGGTTGTTGATGAAGTCTTTCTGGGATCGGCGGTGATTGAAGTCAACATCAATCTCAATGGCCAGCATATCTTTCTCAGAGTGAAGGAAAGATTGAAAAAGATTCCATTGCTGATCTTCTTCTGCAACTGCAGCATGTAGCCACTTCATGTGGTGTTCCGTGGGGTTTCGGTGAACACCATCTTCAGAGACTGTGGCAACATAGGAAAGCATAGAAATCTCTTCAGTCTTTTGTTTCTTTTCGGGTTGCTCATATGGAGGTGTATCATCAAGTAGTGGTGAATCATGTTCACGTTCACCATCATCAAGTGCGACTCTGTCATGTCCATCATCAGGTAATGGAGATTCAGGTTCATATTCATCATCATATTCATTGACTGGTCGCGGAGCTGATTCAGGTCCTGCTGCAAGACGCTGGAGACGTTCTTCAGCAGTTTCTGCATTTTCGGGTAAAAGTTGATTCTTCCCAGTGACACGTCGCTTGGGAATGAAAAGAGTTGTTGAAGAATCAGGTTGTTGTGGTAAATCAGGTTCTTCAGATTCTTCTTCACCAGGGACTTGGTCTGTGAGATCTTCATAGTCACGTGCAGGCAAAATGTCTGCGATAGATCTCCATTGTGTTGGGTCATCTTTGTTGCTGATCTCATAGGCAATCTGTTCTGTGGTTGTGACAGGTCTCACAGAATGGACGCTGCATCGCATCAATTGGTTGCCAATGAGAACCCAAACCAAGTGCCGTCGATGATCGTCATGATCTTGGTGAGGTAAAACTTCATGAAAAATAACTCTACCAGGACCAATCCAATGAGGTTTGATGGACAACTTGCCGCCACCACGTTTGCCTTGATGTAAATGTGAAGGCAGTTGCTTGCGCCAAACTTTGACAAGTTGAGTTGGATGAAAAGTGCGCAAGGGTTGTCTCACCTTTGAGTTCTTCAGCTTGGAAAGGACACGCAAGGATCGTGTCTTCCTTGCCACGGCTTCGGCTTCATGTCTGGCACGGACCAAGGCCTCATAGGACATGGAGTCGTCAGACTTTGCAACGTCCTTGAAGGTCCGAAGGTCTTCATCGGTCAGCACATAGTCTTTTCCATACGCCCACTGAAAGGAGGAGTATCCCTTGGTGTACTCAGTAGCGTTCAAGGCAGCACATGCTAGCATCAAAGTCACCTTGGGTTCCAACGTAGGCTGATCAGTTTGGATTGTGGACGCTGTCATCTTCACGTCCTTGACTGCTGACCCGACAATGCCATGTGCCCATGATTCACGCTCTGCAGGAAAACTGAGAAAAATTCCAGTTGAATTGCAAAACTCATGCATCTCACGGCTTTGAAAGGTCTTAGCGTTGTCAGGGATCAAGATCTCAGGCTTTGGTTTGTCGCAAAGCCATTTTTCAGCAAAACCCGTAATGACATCCTGTGTGCTTTCAGCTTTCATTTCAACAAAGCTATATTCTTTGGCTACATGTATGACTTTCAGCTTTGTTGCTAGATCCATGTACAGGATGAACTTGATCTTGACACGTTGACCAGGTACCAACCATTCGCTGGCATCAAAGCCTATGGCCTGCCACGCCTTGTAGGTCTCATGGGTCGCAGCAGGAGGCACATTGCCGGAGCTGGAACCGCCAAGTTTGATGCCTTCACAAGCAGCGCATCGAAACTGACGAGCCATTTCAAGTTTCCATTCTGGTAAGCCTGCATCTCGAAAGAGATGGATGAGATTTCTGTTGGTTGGGTGTCCAGCTGTACGGTGGTAATGGTGCAGCCTTGCATTCCATGCATCTTGTTCTTTTTGAGGAATGGCCGCCAGGGATCTCGCAGCGCTGGACGGAGGAACCAACTGTTCATCCTTGGCCTCAGAGGAGGCTGCAGCATCTGCGTCAGCAGATTCACTTGCCATCGCTTCTTGTTGTAGAGCTCGACAATCATGTTGAGGTAGTACTGGATGAAGTCTTCTCTCCCAGTTTTCATCTTCATCGATCACATCATCAGTGGATGATGTCAGGAGCTTGAGGTGTCGAAGAGGAGCAAGTTGACGTTTCCAATGTCGAACAATGCTTTCGACCATCCTCTTCGGGTAATAGGCAGTTCGGCTTGTTTCCAAGCCTTGAATGAGGCTGTGGGTATGGTTTCTGGGGCACACTTTTGCCCTGAAGTTCTTCCAAAAAAGTTCATCTGTGGTCTTGATGAGCCACTTTTTGTGCAGAAAAAAATCATTCTTGGAGTCCATGAGCCCATAGTTGCATCCATCGATGCGACAGGATTCCCATGCAATGCCACGTTTTTGAAGATCTTGTTCAAGTTTCACCATAGGACCTTGTTGCCAACCGCTGCAAGGGTAAGTCCATTCCCAGTACACATCAAGGTCTGGGTCTTCGTCAAGTGCTGTTACAAGAAAGTCAGCTACCCATCTCAGCATTCGGCGTTCGCGACGTCGCATGCTTTCAAGAACTTCCTTGCGCTCGGGAGTGTTGTAGTTGACCTGGGTCCATTTGCAAAACTTGGTACAAGGAAGGCTAAGCCAGATCTTCTTGGGACGCCGTTGACGACGCTCTTCCTTCAAACGCATCCACGTCTCAGGCTTGTATATGTCATAGCCCTGGGCAAAGTTGATTCTGCGACTTGGAATTCCATGTTCATTGGCAGCTGCTGTAAGCCAGCTGTTCTCTGAGCAGGCAACTTCCCAGAGACCATCACGGCCTTCAAGGCTCGCATCCAAAGCCACCGAAGTCAAAGTGGATGTCATCACGGCGACCATCTGCATCATTTTCATGGCAATGTTGTTGGGAAGAGGTTTTCTCGAAGACATCATGGACTTTGTCATACTTTTGGACATAGACGCCGACGACAAGCTCGTAGGTGTCTTGGTCATAGATGAGTCTTGGCACATAGAGGAATTTTGGCACATAGAGGAATTTTGGCACATAGAGCTCGGCTTGGTTTTGGAGCTCGATTCGACAAAGCTGACATGCTTCGCAGAAGGGCTCGACAAAGACGTAGAGCTCGAGGATCTCATTGTTCGATGTTCTCGGCCATCTGCATCTCGAGAGCCGATGCCATATCCTCCTCCACAGGAACTTCCCAGCTGTGAGGGCTGGACAATGTTGATTGTCCGCCCGGCTTCGCCTTGGCCTTTGGAGTGCTGATTGGAACTTCTTCCACCGGCACTGGATTCTTCAAGGCGCTGGTGATCAGAGTTCTGAGCTGGGCTTCCGCTGTGATCTTGTCCATCATGGCCTTGCAGATGCGAGCTGTTGGCTTGCAGTTTTGCATCAACGGCTGGAGCTCGGCAAGCATCTGCTGGACCATGGAGTGGTTCATTGCCTGTGTCGATGAGCTTGGAGCGCCCTGTCTTGGCACGTAAACCATCCTGACATTGCACACGTCGCAATGTCTCCACATTCCATGAGCATTCTTCTGCCAAGTGCCCGGCTGGTGCTGGTTGTAGCACGGCCATGTCCCTTGAGCTCTTGGGTCTCGAGGGTCCATCTCGATCTTGCGGTTCATGTCTGGAGGCTGAGATGGATTCTTGGGCTTGGCTGGAGTCATGCCTTCGATCACGGTCAGCAAATCCTGCTCGGCCTTCGAAGTCTTTGGGGCCATTGCGCAGGTGATCACGAAAGGAGATGTCGACGTGGGGATCAAGTTGTGCTTCAGAGCACATTGAGTGAGCCAATTTGGCTGCAGCATTCGACTTGACATGGTCATAGAGCTTCCACATCAGTTCCTTTCGTTGATCAGGATTCACTGGTGCTTTGCGTTCAACTTGAGAGTGATAAAATTCCAATGGCCGAAACTGCAAAGTTGATGAAAAAACTTGCTGTTCACTGCGATCAACATGTACATGTGCAGACCCTTGCTGGTTGAATTTGCCACGAGTGAGGTGGTAGACAACGTCATACACAAAATGTCCCTTGGAGTTGGTCTTCAATTGATAGAGCTCTGCTTGGGGGTCTACACCGTCAATCACATAGCCCAAACTAAAATCCACCAACATTTGACAACCAGAAGTACCAATGTGGTCCATGCCGATGAGAATGGGGACTAGGTTGCTGGGTGAAGGGTCATCAGGATTGGGAAGTGCAAATAGTGAAAAACTACGATGTTGCCCTGAAACAGTTGATGAAATAGTTGCTCTGTAAAGTGCTTGACCCCATTTCCCATTTCCAAACCTGAAAAACGGCCGCACATATGGCTGGATGTCGACCTTCGCTCCACGGTCTTGTGCCAGAATGGCCTGAATAAGACCATGAACTGCTAAATCAGGTGCCGCAGAAGCTGTTGCACCGCAATCTAACATACCAGTGGTAGAACTGGTCAAAGCATCTTTGACAGCTGTTGCAGCCGAAAAATGAGGTTGCGGGTCCATTTCAAGTCCACCAAGGTCGTAAAAGGCAGTGTAGGCATTCACAGGAGGCCTGACTGGCTTCCCAGAGTTCTTCCCTTTCCCTTTGGTCTTGCTGGTCCAAAGAGCATACTGGTCAGCCATTGCAGCTGACTTGAACTTGCCTTTCATACCCTTCTTGCCCTTGCCTTTGGCCGGGGTCGTGTAGTAGAGCTGGTGGTCGTCATAGGACATCATGTGGTTGTTTTTGCCACCTTTGCCAGAGTAAGGGAGCACACGCTTGTCTGGGCAATCGCGGGCAAAATGGTTGCCACCGCAGTTGAAACATCTGGTAGAAGGAGGACCATGTTGTCCAAAACCACGGTCTTTGCGCATCTGCTGAGTGGTGCCCTGAGCTTCCACCCATGTGCGCTTTGCTTCCATCGCTAGTTGTTCCGCAGCTTGCTCAGCTTGATGTGCTTCTTTCAACTGGTCATCTTCTTCTTCTACAGGCGCCAAAGTTGGAGGCTCAGAGCTCGCATGTTCTTCTTCCCATGGCCAATCATCATACCATTCTTCATGCCATTGTGCATCACCCCACCAGTCAGCATCATGAGACGAAGTGTCCCAAGAGTCAGAGTGCCATGTATCATCGTCCCAAGACTGTTGCATGTACACATGTCCATAGTTGGAGGATGCCGAAGAAGAATGATATCTCTGACCAAGCAGCTGTTCATCCCACAAGGTCTGTAAGGCCTTGCTGATGGCTTCAAACTCAAGCCTGTTTTGAGTCGTGGAGAGGATGTCACGGGTTTCCTCAGCATTCAAACATGCAGCTTGAAGTAAGCGCCATCCACGCAGCACACCCATGATGAATGAGTCAGTTGGAGAAAGCTCACTCACACCTGCAGTTGAAGGTGCTTGAATGGCAGCTGAATGAACAGAAGGAGGTCCACCTCGTCCATGACTTGGTGAAGAACCCATGCTAGCCCGAACTTCTTCTTGAACTCCAGAAGGTTGTTGATCTTCAGAACGTTCGCCTTCAGCAGGAGGTTGTCCCATATGAACTGGAGGATCAGCGGTATCATCAGCAGTTGTTGATGCAGCTGTGTTGTCATAGCTATCATCATACCACCAAGTTTCCCATGCATCTTCTTCTTCCGGAGGAAGTCCAAAGTTCATCTCAGAGGGATCAACGCCATTGCGCTCCTCCCACAAACGCTGGAGAGCTTCCGCAAACTCCTCATAACCCAAAGTCTCACGGACCAGGAAGTTCGCCATGCTTTCACCTGGACGTCGTTTGAAGCTCAGGTACTGCTGCAAGATCGCTGCAGTGTTGGGTAAGGTCTGCCGCACAAGTGGAGACGCAGCAAGCTTGCGAAGAAGAACCAAAGTTCCACCGTTGCTATCAAACTCAGACCTATTCCATGACATGGCTAAAAGACGTGCAGTTCCTTGCAGTTGGCTAATCAGCTTGGAGGCTACATATCGTCTTTTATTCACTGGAGTTGAGGACACATACCAGGCCACTTCTTTTGTATATCTACGCCATCCCTTCGCCTGACCATCCCAAGTTGGAATTCTGCCAGCTGAGTCACGTTCCGTCATACTTCAGGAAGGAGAAAAGGTGTGAACTCCTTAGTTCACTAAAGAAAATGCAAAAGCAATTGCCAAAGACCTCAGCAAGGTTGTTGTGATGCCGTAGGCTTCGGCAGTGAAGTAGTAATGCAAAAAAAAGTATGTTCACCCGGAGAAACAGCTCTTAGAGGAATCTCACCAGGCAGCAAAAGGGTAGGCCCTGGAGCACCGTCGCTCCGCTGCCAATGCAGCTGGAGAATGGCAGTGAGCGTTGGGCTCGGTGTTCAATGGGTTGACGTCAAATGAAAAGAATGCTAAACCACGATCAAATCCAAATGTCAACCCAAGTGCACAAGCGCACTGTTTTCCAAGGATCGCCAATGATCCTACGCATCCATGGCTTAGGAGTAGCCGTGCAAACAAGGGGCCCCTTCCTGAGTGGGAACGCCAGCGGACGAACAACCTGACAGCCAGGAGGTGAAAGTTGCAATATAATATGTGTTTTTTCTGGTTACATGCCCCATGTTTCTTCATCCGTGGGTGATTTTTTTTGCACATCCTGGCTCCGTTTCTCCAGATTTTCATCGCAGTGCATGGATAGTTAGCGATCAAAAAAAAACTCACCAACTCAAGCAACTATCATCGCCATCGACGGGTTTCCCCATTAAAAATCACTGTAAAAACAAACGTCTGTTTGTGAAAAAAAACGTTAAATCCGCTGGTTAACTGGTGAACGAAGGTAACTGACCAATGAATCAACCATCATTTATCAGCTGTATCCCTATACTGGTTGGTGATTTCAACCATCTTGAAAAATATGAGTTCGTCAATGGGAAGGATGACATCCCTTTTTTATTATGGAACATAAAACATATTAAAAAATGTTTGAAACCACCAACCAGCGATATCCCAATGGTTAAAAAACCACCATGAAATGATGGCGGGATCTCCAGTTCTGATGCTAAGCCGCTGCTGATGCTGCTCTCCATCTCTCCGATGTTCCAAGAACCTCGCAGCCTGGGGCGGCGCAAAGAGATGATCACTGGATTGGATTTGTTGGGAAAATCTTCACCGGAAACCCATGGGTTTTTACCATCAAATTGATCGGGCTTTCCGGTTAATTTTTTCCCATCATCCAGTTGGAATCCTCTGGATCCAGCCGTAGCGTATCGGAATTTGGGGAAGGATGGATGGGGTAAGTATACCTTCTCAGGAAGTATTTTTGGATCCATAGGGTATTAGTATTTAATATTAGTATATTAGGATTGTTAATTGGATAATGGATGATAATGGGTTATTATCATTTCTAGTGGTGTTTAATCAACAATACACACATCAATGAAAATTAGCGTGAACGTTCTCCTGGATTGTGTAGGTGAGATCTTTAGATTGGTCGCTTTCCAGGGAATGATGCTTGGGGTACCCTCTGGTTATGACTAACATAGCCATGGAAGCCATGGCCCATAGAAATAGATGGTTTACCGTTCTTAAAAATGGTGGATCTTTCCATGGCAAACTGTTAGTCATAACCAGATGGTAGGTTGGGGTATTCGGTTGGTCATAGCTCACCGGTTTTTCGGCCACCGGTTAATCACCCAGAAACAGATGTGTACATCCCCATGGATCCAACTGGTCATTGAGGTCTGTAATCCATGGCTGGGATTCAGTAGGTACACTCCGGTAATTTACAGTAACATAGACCCTGGCAGATAGGGGTTCGAAGACAGGTTTCCACTAAAAATTGCTTATTTTCGGGGTCTATGTTAATTTACCAGAGGGTATACCAAACAAAAAAAAAATCCACATTTGGCAATTTTTTGAGGACACATCAAATGCAGACCAAAACATAAATTATCTGAATATTGAATTGGATTAAAAGTCATGCATTCTTTTCCGCCTTCATAGCGCATGTTGCTTCCAGACTTCCAGCCATTGTCTTACTGCGATGGTAGTCCTCGCTGGTCATCCAAGCAACAAGAGCCCATTGGCAATGGCCAAGAGAGCGCAAGGACCGTTGCGATTTTGCAGCAGCACAGGCACCTGGATTTGAAATTCAGTACGAAAATGTGCGATAGCGATTAATGTGAAACACCGCCGTTAAAAGAGATCGGTTCAGGACTTTTGTGGAAAACATAATGAAGGGTGTGTCCGAAAAAAGGGGCTACCCTAGAATGTAATGGTGTTTATCATCATGTCCCTATTTTGATGGCAATTTTGTTTGGAAACACTTTCCTGACACATGCTACAGTTTACACCATCATTCTATTACAAGACAATACCGCTGCTCGCTCTGCATTTTTCAAAAGCACTCGGACGCATATCCCTTCAGAATGAACACACATGTCCGTCACCGTAAGGTTGAGTTTGGCAAGGATTGGCTGCGCTTGTCTCAAATTGGCAGTATAGTAGCAGTATGAAAGTTGACAAGTCTTATTAAAAATGCTATGATAAAAACATGTTGAATGTTTCGACAATTCCTGCAATGTCACATAAATTCATGGAATTTCCCAGAATACCCAGATGCTCCATGGTGTATATACCTACGTTTGTGTGATTCTTGCGTTAAATGTTCATAAGTCTTCCACCATGAAGCATATGGGATATATAACTATTGATTGATACACTTGATACATGTTTCTGGGCTCAGTTGCTCCTTTGTTTTCATGGAATTTCCATGAATTTCCTAATATCATTGGATTGGTTTATAGGAACAATCACAGGAGCCCCCCGTATTTCACAGGAAAAACCATGGTTTATATGGTTTCCGGTGAAGATTTTCCCAAGAAAACCAATCCAATGATCATACCCTCTGGTAAACTAACGTAACTATGGAAAATCACCATTTTTCATGGGAAAACTCCCTATTTCAATGGCCATTTTCAATAGCTATGTTAGTCATTCCCAGGCCGGGTATCCTCTCCAAACTTCTTCCGGTTCAACGGCCGTTCCAGGCCCATCCGCGCCTCCTGCCCCAGAAACTCGATACGTCGCACTTGGAACGCCTCCCCATCCGCCGTTCCGGCCGTTCCGGCCAGGGCGGCCGCCAGCTCAGCGTCCGACTCCAGGGTGGAGGGAAGATGCGCCTGGCGATGCGATGGGGCGATGGGGATTGGAGATTCGCAGATCTGCCTGGCAGAAATGGAAACGATTTTGATACCACATGAAGACAAGATCAGGTTTTGGATCTGCAGACCCAGTGAATGGCACAATTTGTGAGGCACGTTTCTGGTGATGTTTCGTGGTTTAAAAAGGGTAGCCATACAGATATGGAATCATTGTTTGTTCTATCCTAATGAACCCAAGAGCTAACCGTTTGTTGTAATTCAACTTAGCTCACCTAGTACCTAGCAAGAGTGAGAGAACAGTGGTACATACATGTACATAAGCAAGAAATAATATGGATTGATGTTGCTTTATAATCCACAATAACTGTTGGCTTTCTGGTGATGATGAATCTATACAAAAAGATGGGATGGTTTCTACTGCTACTGCTAGTACTGATGCAACTCCAGCAGCTATTGTGTCTGCACACCAAGAGTCAACCGTCTATGGTGACTTTGTGGCTTCTTGTTGATGGCCACTTAGTGTCCCGAAAATGATGGGAATGACATGAACAACATATGAACACCTAAGCATATTACCACTTGTTCCATTTGTATTTATATACGCCATAGGACCCCCAAAAGTCTTGGATAACGCCATCTTGTCTATAATTATGTATTCGGAACTCCTTGGCCACTTTCCATGCTGTCGCCCTTTCCTTTTGCTGGAAAGTTGCATCTGGTTGGTGGTTTAGCAACACATCCGAACCATATTAAAATATCGTGGGATCAAAGCCGCATTTCAGTAGTCTTTCCGCGCACTGTGAAAGCATCGTAATTCTCAACCGATAACCAGGTGGATTTTGAATCGATCAGAAGCCCTTTGGCCTCGAGTGAAACTCCAAAAATCGGTGGTGCCCCCACTCTTGTGAGTGGTTTTATGAAGCCCATGGTCCCATGAACTAGTTTGTCATATCAATATCTATCAGATATATTCTGATATAATTATCTACTATCTCTAGATATATAATGATATATATATATATATTATAATTATAATATATATATACAGTATCTACCACAAACCAAGCTTAGCTATATCTCGGGGGGCACCACCATGTTAGCACAGCTAAGCATCATCGTTTCCGCCGCTTCGAGGTCTCCAAGCAGCTCCGCAACGCCTCGGCGTCCTTCGAGGAACGCAGTGGCTCCTCCATGAGCAACGCCAGGGGCGTCTTCCCGTCAGGGCGGGCCTGGAGATGTCACCTATCTATGGGAATATCATGGGAATATACCCAACAATAGATGGGGATATAATGGGAATATCATGGCTGGTTGGTGGTTTTGAAAATTAATATATACAATTAATACAATGTGGGGCCCCCCAGTGATGTTAGATGGTTTATAAAGCCCATGAATACTATAGTTATAGGTACCATAAACCATAGTGAAATTGGAGTTATAAACCAACTTAGCTATCTAGGGGGCCCCACTTTGTATCTGGATGGTGATTTTAACTGAAAAATATTAGTTGGGATGATGAAATTCCCAATATATGGAAAAAGATTGTTTTGTTCCAAACCACCAACCAGATCTAATATGTGCAAAATGTGTTATTATAATTAATAATTAACATCAGGTGAATTGGGTGTATGTAATTCTATGTAGCTATAGTTTGAATATAGTGTCTTCCGATATATTGTATGTACTCATATTATATAAATTGTACATATATGATGATGTATGTAATACGTATGATATGCTCTGAAGGACATTTGTGCCCATTGCCATATATACTCCATGGTGCTCGAATCCTTTATAATGACAGATGTCCCGAATGTGAGCCCTGGATGAAGCTAAATATGCCACGTAGTATATCGGCAAGAAAAGAAGAAGAAGGGACTTGTAAATGGGATATATGGCAATCACACAAAGAGGATGTGCTTCACTGTATACATGGTACTCTGTCTGGTACTCGAAGAAAGCGGAGTTTCATTTTTGTTGGGACAAACATGTGGGTGCTATGATCAACATCATATTTGGGTGATCAGATTTCCAGAGGTTTTACTATGATGATTATATAACATATAATGTGGTTAAAACAATAATAAACCATTCCCCAAATCACTATAAATAGGTTATAGAAACCATTCCCAAATGGGTAGTTTATTATTATTTTAACCACATTGTATAATTCTATATCATTGGGTGATCAGTCATTTTATGATCAATAAATTCTGGCTGCTCCAAACTCATGGGACAAAATGATGCATATCTATATACGTAGTTGGATGGTATAATGTGTAATAAAACAAAAACATACTAATTAATATAATCATATAATCATATAATCATATAATCAAAATTCTTATTTACACTATATATACACACATATTTATCCCAGTTGAGCATTCAGCTTGCTACAAGTCGAGTTGACTCATCATTCATCATTCGGGGAGGGGGTTGGTGTGGCGCTTAAGGTGTTTTCATCTTGGTGATCTATGGTTGCTGCTGTCAATCAGCTATTCGTACTATGGTAATGTCGTAGTATGTAGTATGATACAAAGTGGGGCCCCCTAGATAGCTATATAAGTTGGTTAATAACTCCAATAACTATGGTTTATGGTACTTATAACCATAGTTATTGGGGCTTATAAACCAACTTATAACTAGGGGGCCCCACATTGTAATATGTTTGGTAATTGGTCAGAGAACACCAACCACATTACCCAACAACCACCGATCCAAGTCACACCACACCACAGACCACTTAATCACAATCGAATCAGCATTCATATCACCACTTTAAGCACCATTTGGACGTTCTCATGGATAAACCTGTCCAGTTTCGCTATAGTCAAAGCAATTTTCGTTCTGGTAGCTAGAAATCGGTGAGACCACCATGTTCATCCATCTCACATCATATCTATATCCAGATTTTTCACAGAACCATTATTTTCACCTAGTTAAGTATCCAGTTCACATATTGAACATTCAGTTGTTGATTGAATTGGTTATTACAGGGAATTATACCGCATATATATATATATATACATAATAATATTACAGATTTTGTTTCTTTATATATATATATATATATGGCTGTGTCTTTTTTTAACGGGTGCAGTTTTTAGTAAAGGCAGGAAGTTCGATTTGTGCGAATCATACCCCCGAATCATACCCCGAATCATACCCCCGAATCATACCTCCGAATCATACCCCAAAAAATCATTATTATGAATGTTTCTTTTGGGATCGTTTGGGATTGCATTGGCCTCACCTGTTATAATGAACCTGACAAGCTAATTGACCAGTGTTGGCCAGACCCGATGATCCCTGGCTACCTTCACATACCTTCACGGAGTGGCGAATCTTCTCCACGCGCACAGAGTCTCATCATTATCCCTAAGCTGGCTGGCTCTGGGTGGCTGGCTCTGGGTGGCTGGCTGGCTGGCTAGGTGGCTGGCTCAGTTGCTGCTGCTGGTATAGGGCTGGCTAGTTGCAGCTGGCTGGCTGCGTGCCTGGCTGCTTGCTGTGTTGCTGATGAGGCTGATGAGCGGGATGACTCTGTGTGCGGCTGGCTGGCTGGCTGGCTGGCTGGCTGGCAACCAAACCAAAAATCCGTCGAAGAGGAACATAAGCCTAAGCGTAGCTGAACTAAAGGTACATGAGAAGAACATCCAGAAGAGACGCCGGCAGGCCGTCGGATATAAATCATAGATGTGCATTTAGATCTTCACATTCTTCATATTCAGGTCCTGTCCAAGGTCGTCTGGCAGGTCGAGCCATTGCAGCCATTGAGTAGCAATCGTAGTAGGTTCACGGTGGGAAAAAGAGATTCAAGCAACAAAGCTTCCTGAATTCAAAAAAAGATGGGTTTCCGAATCATACCCCGAATCATGCCCGAATCATACCCGAATCATACCTCAAACTTCCCAATTCTGAACCTTGGTACATTTGCAAGATCAGAACTTGTGATTTGTGAGCTCTTTTCTTTGTAACCATTCGCCACGGGCTAGACTACGCCTCCTGCTGCTTCAGAGAAAAATCCGACAACAGCACCCTGCAGCTCCTGCAATGGCTCCAACATGCCAACTCCAAAGCGCACACACACCACTTTAACTGCAGCACCTTGAAGCAGCACCCTGCAGCGGCACCACCAGCCAGCTCCAGAGCGGACACGCCACTCTAACAGCTGCACCCTGCAGCGTGCAGCAGCGCCCTTCACATAGCACCCTTGCAGCACGAGTTGGGTACAGTACGTACCCTCCTTGCAGCACCCTGAAGCATCACCCCTTGCAGCAGCACCAGCAAGCTAGCTCGACAGCACCCTCAAGCAGCACCTTCCACCGGCATCCGCTCACCAGCATGCCCGCTCCAAAGCAGGGTTTACAGCACACACCACTCTGACAGCAGCACCTTCAAACATCACCCTCAGGCAGCACCTGCAGCAGCACCCTGAGCGCCACCAGCATCGCTCCAAACTGTACACACCACTCTGACAGCAAGCAACACCCTGCACCAGCACCTTGCAGCGGCACTCCAACGGCACCACGATGCCCGCTCCAAAGCGCGCACACCACTCTGACAGCAGCACGCACAGCGTCAACAGTATGCCAGCTCCAGAGCGCTCCATGTATGGTATAATTACCAACAGTTGAAACATTTTCGGGGTAAGTGTGGGTAAATAACTATACGCGGAGGATGCAGGGAAACACTAAATCAAGGTCCGCGAATCATACCCACGAATCATACCCACGAATCATACCCCGAATCATACCCACGAATCATACCCCCTAGTCAAACTTCCCGGGCCGCACTCCTCATTTTGAGACATACCCATATGTATGTATGATATAAGAATCCTCGCCAGAAGTTCTTGCGTTGCACGTCTCCAGCCCCGTCGCCCCAAATCGCCCCGTCGCGCCTGGTGTGGGTCGGCCATGGCCTCCACCAGCCTTCGCAGCAGCTGCAGGCGCGGTCCTTCCGGGCCTTCGCTCAGCACCGTCGTCAGCGGCGTCTCGCCGTCCGCCGCCGGGTCGCCGCGGTCCGGATCTGCCTGCGGTGTTGGGAGGTCGGTACCGAGGTACCCCGAGGGGCAGTGGTTGCGATATCCACCAGTTGGTGGTAAACATCCCATGAAAATCCCATAATTTGATATTATTTATAGGGTTTCAACCAGTTGAGAGGTGGTTTATCCCATTGTTTATAGGCAAACAAGCATCCTTTTGGTGCAGGATTTCTTCTATCAACAGTGTGTGGCCCATTTTTCAGGGCTCAATTTCAAGGAAGATACTCACAACATATGGCCTTCTATGGTACAGTATCTCCATTTTATCCTGAAATTCCCATTGATCTAGTCTTGGACCACCAAACCCACGCCGTCAATTGGTCTAGCCATGGCTATGTGTCAATACCCTGGCACCTGCCGCAGCCCGGAAACGTGACCGTGCTTGTATTCTCTGCAGAACAGCTACCCTCTGGTAATTTAACATAGCTATGGAAAATCACCATTTTTAATGGGTAAATCCACTATAAATGGCCATTTTCAATAGCTATGTTAGTTTACCAGAGGGTATGTATTTTTATTGGCTAGTCTATTTATGATCAATTTGGAAAACAATTGTCACTGTTTTCACCATTCACCAAGCTTAACTGTGTTTTGTTTTCCTAAGATCCAAGTTGGCTACTCAACTAGATATCCTGCTACCGAAAACATGACTTTTTGTTGGTATTTGTGTTTTCCCCCCATTGGATAACGGTGAACCATATCTTCTACTTGGTGACTTCAGCCTAAAAAAATCTTAGTCATTTGAGATCATTTCAGGGAAAACTACCCAACCAGGGAACAAACTGTGAAGAAACATATCTCAAAGGTGGGGGAAAAAAACTACCATGGACACAACTGTGAGTTGTTACTAGTTGAATATCATGATACATAGCAACCATACAGGAAAAAACAACACCCAAGAAGATAGACAGAAAAAAAAGTGATGAATTTTAAGTCCTTTTCTATCGTTTTTTGAGTTACTATATCTATATATCTACATATATATATATATATGGTTGGTGGTTTCAACCCCTCTGAAAAATATGAGTTCGTCAGTTGGGATGATGAAATTCCCAATATATGGAAAGTCCTAAAATTCCATGGTTCCAAACCACCAATCAGATAGAGTCATGCAGCTGTTCAATTTGGGGACCACGGCACTTCAAACACTACCATGGTGGCCATGACTCACATCCCGTAGCGCCTACCTTTCTGAACAACCATGGTTTATTAATTACCCTCTGGTAAATGTTTACATAGCTACGGAAAATCACCATGTTTAATAGGAAAATCCACTATAAATGGTCAGTTGCAATAGCTCTGGAAGGTACTATGGAAAGGAAAATCCACTATCAATCCCAAACAATCCATGTTGGTAATATTTGCATACATTCCAATGTTGGCCTGAGAAGCCAACATTGGAATGTTGGCTCCTGGAGGCTACATTCATAAAATTAGGTCCTACTTTTGTCGGAATCTAGTGATTTTGCCGGAGTCTATCGGAAAGGAGAAGTTTATCCAGTTGCGGGCAAAATTATGTTGCCAAAAAGTGGTGGGTCAGTCTTGACCGACGTCCTAAGGAATAAAATATCAAAGTTGAGCATTTTTTTATATAGTTCCATAATGTTCTATATACGACAATTCACGAGACTACATCTGGATATTGCAGGCGCGACAATTCACAAGACGGCTACATCTGGATATTGCAGGCCTGCACCAATCTTGAACCAATCGAAGATTATATTCACAAGTTTCAACGACAATCACCCAAACAAAGTCCAGAAAACAGTATACAATTGAGAGCTTGAAGGAAAGCCAAATAAATAGACCGGAACCTGCAAGACTAAACCCATAATAAATCATGAACTATAGCATGAGTTATCAAAGATAAAGCAGGCATCATTGCATCTCAAATTTATTTGCCTCTGCTCATGCTTGTTCTTCAACTGATTTTAAGTCCATCGCAGGAACAACAAATTGCTGTAGAGTATTGAACAAACACCTTTATTTCACCTACCCGAGGGGGCCACTATGATGTTCAAAAGATGGAACAACACAGCATACAGTGGAACACACACAGACACACTCACACATGCACAACAAAAAACAACAGGATGTAATTACCGTCATACTGGGTCAGGGAGGGATGTTTACAGTAAGATAGATAAGAACACACATGTTTTCGCAGATGCATTTTTTTGCTGGCTCTAGATTCTGACCTCCAACCCAAACAAATAGGACACTGCTGGAACAACATACAACCAAACAGGATAAACATGACAAATATGCAACATGTGCATGTGCGCGTCAGCTTTTGGTGGCAACGTGTCACTGATGGCCCAACATAACATTCCATAACAAGCTTACAGAAATTTAACATGCTAATCTGTTGTCCAGATGCTTGCATTTTTGTTTCACAAATCTGTGTCAAACATTCTGGAGTTTGTTTGGACAGTTGTTTTTTTTTGGGGGGGTGCATCGTTTGGCTAAATAATTAAATATAAAAAAGCAAAGCCAAACAATTGAACATGATAAATTGTGTGGGAGCAAAAAGCAAGAAGGCAAGCGCCAAGACAAAATATGATCGGCACTCAAGACGAAAATTCATACGGCAGCAAAATCAGTTCCAGTCACGAAATGCAACTCCGCGCTGAAAACTAAAAAGTACTCCTGCACTCTTGCAGTACTGGAACTTTTTGCACTCCCGCAAGCGCTTAGGTGCTTAGCCGCCGACTTTCTGCAATTCAATTTTGACGTTCCTACATAGTCTGATGTATGGTGGAAAGAGAAATTAGTTAATGCAAATGCATGCTTCTGCCCTTGCTGGATCCTTCAAACTTTTTTTGAATGGTCAACCCACGGGGCAAGAACACTGAAAGTGTGCTCTTTTCGGTGACAGTGAAAAAATACAAACATGTTGAACATTGTGTCTCTTTAGTGTGGCATTGGTCAATGTGTTCGGGAAAATTTGGGCAGCCCGCTGCCCCAAGTGAGCGTGACGAGACCGTGACGGGAGCGTGACGGACCATGCCGAATGTATGCAAAATTAGTAGGAAAATACCCAATTTTTGTCGGACCAGCGTGACGAGAGCGTGACGGGAGCGTGACGGGAGTGTGACCAAACACCGGGAGCTTTGCTGGAACACTGGTGGCAAATCTACAGTTTTATTTCCATATCTTCAGGCCCAAACCTTTTCACATGTTGACTGGAATATCCCCTTCCAGCCCCTTTTTCTGATATTTTCGGCCAAAAGTGGCATAACATAAACCTGACACTTCCTGAAAAAGAAAAATATCAGCATAAAATTGGGAGGGGATGAGATGAGGCCCGGTCAGTATTGTAGTCCGGGGATGCCTCGGCACTATCAAAATTAATTGCTGCAGTGTTTTTCTTCCTGAGACCCGCTCCGAAATGAAGAGTGTCTTCAACTGGCGCTTATTTGTGGTTACTTTCCTGCATATTGAATGTTTTATCTAATGTACAGCATCTCTAGTTGAGGAGTTACAGTTACAGGTATTGAATTCGCAAAAATTAGAACAGGTTTGCTTTCGGTCAGAACTGACCACTAAAGCACTTTGACCTTTCCTGACAGAAGACATTTGTAAGACTATGATGTTGTTTGCAATCGCCGTGTCCATAGGTCAGGGAGGTTGGCAGCGATGTTTTTGTGAGCCGATCAAGGATACCGTGTCGTTTTGGTGGCATCGAGTCGGCACATACCACATCCCTTTGATCAACCAGCCAAAAAAAGTTGCAAGGACAAATTTATGAAATCATTAGGTTAAATTAGTTGTTTTTTGAATTTTGATGAATTTTTCCTGCATAAGTCCATATTCGGGTGTGAACAAATTTAAGAACATCACTCCATGATGAACTTCATGGTCTTGGGGCGGGCATTGAGAATCTGATCTTCGGAAGCTGTATCAGGGTAACGCTTCCAGGTTAATAAATTGTACTAACTTTTTTGCTAGGTCCTAGGTAGATACTGAGTTCGGAGGATACTGCAACCTCCGCAAATAATTTCAAAGTTTCAAAGCTATAGCTGTAACAATCTGGCCTCCTCACAACCATACATAAACATGTTCCAAGGAAACTTGCAAACGGTTGGTAGCAAACCGAGGGAAAAAACCATGCATCTATTGAATAGCAAAATGGATCGCCCAACAATTTATCCAATTCATTGCATTTGCGCTTGAACTTGCAACAGGTCCCACATTTACATCCAACAACTCGCACACATGATAAAGTACAATGATCGATCTATATCAACATATTATTGTTGGAGACTGTGTTCCAACCCATGCATTCGTATCATGAATGAAATGCAATGAAATATTGCAAATATTTGCAAATCATATTCTTAGTTCATCCCTTTGTTATTTTTGCTGTTGTGTAGCTTGGAACACCTATCAAAATGAGGGAAATTGTGGGTCAGCAAAACAATGCTGCCACTGTCACTTAATTTTTTTTTGCCCTAGACTGCCGCTTGCCTTGTTGGTATGAAGTATGGAATAGCATGTTTGCTGTTGGTTGGGTCTACTTTGGTGCCACATTGGCACCTAACCTTCCTACATGGCGATTTTTGTTTTGCTTTGACTTGGGCCGTTATACGTTGTCGGAAACAACGGAAACTGTCGGAAAACCAATTTGCCGAATGTAAGGAATACAAGCCTACATTGGCCTATAAATGCGAATGTAGGCAAAAATCGCTGACATTGCCGAATGTTGGTAATATTTGCATACATTGGATCCTTTGGGAATGGTTAAATTACCACTACACCAATCAGATATGGATAATTTCAATAGCTATGTTTTCAATAGCTATGATACATATATAAGATATAATATATATATACCCTCTGGTTATTTAACATAGCCATGGAAAATCACAATTTTGATAGGTAAACCATCTATTTCTAGGGGCCATCGAAATCCCATGGCAAACTGTTAGTCATAACCAGAGGGTCTATATACTGGTCGCTAGTTTGGAACATTTTTATGACTTTCCATATATTGGAATGGAATAATGATCCCAACTCACTGAGATAATAACAGATTCATCCCATTATTCACCATTGTTAACCCATTGTTAAACCATTAAATCACCATTAAATCACCATTAAATTATAGATAATAAGAGATTCATTGAAAATACATCCCCGCGATGCTTTATGCGAACGCGCCGCGCCAGCTCCCATCGACCCATCTGTCCACACCTGAGCGTCCAGCAACTGCCGGAGCACCTCCAGGTGTCCTTCCTGTGCTGCCATCAGCAATGGCGGCCTCAGCTAAGGCGCCAAGACTGGGGAAAACCATGGGGAAATATCAGGTGATCTTGAAAATCTCAGGATCTTTCCTTAAATACATAGGGAACCCATGTGGAAATGTGGAATATACAGGGAAACTATGGGAAATATAGGAAAACAACATATATATATATATATTCACATATGTTCACTGTTCAGGGTCTGATGATTTGGGG